TTTGGTTTTGCCATTCAAGTGTTTGCGGGCACCATTAAATCTGAATCAGATATTTTCCTTTCCCCCTAAATACAGTAAAACTTTGGATTTTGACTAAGTTGGTCTCTGAGTATTTCACAAGATGAGGAAACTTATCTGACAGATTTCAACTTCATAAAACTAATGATGTCTTGCAATATAATTAGTGCATGCTCAGGCATCACATGATAACAACTGCTTCTCCTTTCACAGCTTTATTATACATTGTTTTGGATCACGAGCAGAAGGAATCATTCTGGAAAACCAGGGCTTCACTATGACTTGGTGTGAGGTGAAAACAGAAAAACTCTACAGAATTTCAGTGTGGGAGTCCAAAAACACTTTGAGGGATCCATTTCTCCATAGGTGCCCTTCTCTGAATTTCTGCCCAGGGAAAATGTGTAATCACCACCCATGAAGGGATAGTCCTGAGGTGTTCATGGACAGTGCAAGGGAGACAGCACACTAAGCACCATGAGTCCAGAGACTCCTTCACATCAGAATCTGCACTGTTGCCTACAGCTCTGGCTCTAACTAGTGGCAGACTGGAAGGTGCAACATTTGGCCTAAATGTTTTTCCTTTAAAGCAAGGAATGCCACTGTTTTTCCAAACACACAGTGGACACTGAAATTCAGAAACCGGGAGACATCATGAGGCTCCCCCACCGGTAAGGCGATGGTCTTCAGGCCTTCCAAAATTTGCTGCATTTTCTCCTGGATCACTTCAGTGTTCAGCAGGAAACTCGGGGGAACCTTCGGCAGGCGAGCAGCTGCGGTCCGGAACTGGCTCAGTGGATCATCCCTGGAGCGCATCAAGCGGATCATCAGGATGATCAAGTCCTTATCCTGAGCAGCAAGATAGGTGGACACTATAACAAGAGTGAGACACAGCCAGGTTAGTTACACGTGAGCTTCCTCAGAGAGGCTGACCTCAAAACTGCTGTGATGTCTCTTGTGTGTGGACACTTCTTCTCTAGACTGTAGATGTTCTTAAAACTTACAAGTTAAGGCACTGGCCTAAGTATTGCACAGTAAAACAAACAAGTACATGAAATGCACTGATTAAAATGAATACTTTTTCCAACAGGATTTCTAATTGATAACAATTTTTCAATTGTATTTTCCCTCTGGACTTCCATATTTTC